CCGCGTGGTGGTCAGCCTTCCACTTGACGGCGGCACATGAAATCGCTGACGTCGTGTCTAGCCGCTGTTGGATCCGTGCCTCTTCCAGGATGGGGACCCAAAGATGAGGAGTGCCAATGGCTTAGCACTCTTGAAGACATGACCCGCAACCGGAATCAGTGGAAGAATTGTGTACAGTATTGTGTTGATTCACGTGTTTAATACTACAAACATTGAAAATGATAAAAAAGAGCAAAATCGGCGTGTGAAAAACAAACTAAAAATGTTTTGTTCTACTTTTTGTCAAAATGTTCCACCCTTCCTGCGGCATATTAGCTGAAGTGTGTTGCCTACCTTCTACTAGCCTGCCACGATCATTATGACGCGATGACTCTTGTTTATCCGCTAATCTCCATGGTTTTATGTTTGATCTGTGTCTAGTTGATAGGCTGTTGAGATTACTACTACTAGTATTACTACTACTAATACTAACACTACTATTACTACTACTACTAGCCGTGCATAGTGATTTGTACCGCTTAGCGATGGAGGCGTCTAAGTATGGAATATTTCACCTCAGGCGAGTACCAAATAGTACTCCAACATTCAGTGTAAGCGAACATCTGTATTCGATAATTCCTATTCAGACTTCTACTTGTATATAAATAAAAACAACATCGGTAAACAGACAATACCAGTCGTTAGTGTTGGAGCGAGTTAAGTACCGACAGTTTCGGCATCCGGTTTCGGATTTGCCTGTCACTGTGGCCAGCCACAGGACGCCTGCGCCTACAGAGGGACTTTGGGTGGCTTGCACTGCACCACCCACAGCTCCAATCACACACCTCATATCCGGTGTAAACCCGAAGGAATAAGACCGGGAGGCATGTGGATGGGAGCCACGTTTCATCAACGGAGCCGGCCCACACTCCTTCACAAGCAAACACAAGCACGCTGTATTTGGGAATCAAGCGCACATAAGGCGGTGGCTGGACTGTAGTCCGCTCCACACTGAGTGCATGGAACCATTCTTCGGGCCTAGCACGGCCACCAGGACCGTGCACCCCGCCCCTACAGCAAAGACAATCTGTCTCATGGAGCCATTATGAACGAGGTAGTGGGTAATAGACAGGTAGGCACCTTGTCAACATGCACATCTGCGCCTATATATATATATATATATATATATATATATATATATATATATATATATATATATATATATATATATATATATATATATATATATATATAGGCGGCTGATCCTATGGTGCACTGAGGCTGGTGGTGGCTAGATCCTCACAGATGGTCTACCCACTGCTGCTACTGTTGTGCCATTTGCTTATCTCATGAGCGCCTCCACGTGGCGACCGCTGGGTGGGAGTTGAGTTTCGCCCTTCACCTTGCTAAGATCCAGGACACCAATCCGCATGAGTCAGTGAACTGACCATGTGCTAGACCCACTGCCTTTCGGGTGTTCATTTAATCGAAGGCTTTGGCTGAGGACCCGAGTCGTTCTCCTGTCAGGATTGGGCGCCCTGGCAGTATCCTAGTCCATCCTCTTCGGAGGTTAGGAAGTGGTCAATGGCCCTCTTCCCGTAAAACCTAGCTATGGGAGAAAACAGGTTTACTGGTTATAAGCTCACAGCTCGATTGGCGTAGAGCACGATTGCCACGCATTGTCTCTGACGGTGGGAGGACACCTCAGGGTGTTCAATGGTTTGCTACTGCCCGCCTCAAGCCAGGCAGCCCCTGGTCAAATTGGTGCAAACCCGCCAAAACCCACCTGCATCTGGCCGTGGTCGCAGGTGCGTATCCTACTACGGTCGCAAAACATATATAAAAAGTTCCATAACCTCAAAGGCTGCGTGTGACGGCCGTCAAGCAGATCCCAATCTGTTTCTGCAATCACATTCCCGAGCTGGATCTGCTCCCCACTGTCTTGTGGGTCAGGCTATTGAGCCAAAGGCTCCGGGTGGAGTCCCTCAAGCAAACCTCCAAATCACCCACTGCCTTGTGGGTCAGGCTATTGAGCCAAAGGCTCCGGGTGGAGTCCCTCAAGCAAACCTCCGAAGCACAACGACCACCTCGCGTGCGATTTCCCACCAATGCAATCGTATGCCTGCGCGTAAAGCACTCAGCATCGGGTGCTGGAACGTGCGCACACTACTGGACCGAAACTCTAGCGAGCGCCCGGAGCGACGCACTGCACTGGTCGCGATGGAGCTGGCACGCTACAACATCGATATTGCGGCGCTCAGTGAAACCCGGCTCGCTGAGCAAGGTATGTTGCATGAAGCAGGTGCTGGCTACACATTCTACTGGGTGGGCAACGCCGCCTCAGCACCACGTGAACATGGGGTCGGATTTGCAATATCCGATCGCCTCCATGTCCAGCTGATGGGTGAACCAACGGGCATCAGCGCGCGACTGATGACTGTTCGCCTACGACTCGGAAGAGGTAAGTTTGCTACTTTTGTAAGCACGTACGGTCCGACCATGTGTTATCCTGATGACACGCGTGATCAATTCTACACTGAGCTATCCTCCGTGATACGGTCTGTGCCGAGGAGCGACCGACTATTTCTGCTGGGTGATTTCAACGCGCGCGTTGGGCGTGATGCATCAGTGTGGACAGATGTTATCGGTTCGCATGGCATTGGCTCAGCGAATGCGAACGGTGACAGGCTGCTCTCACTGTGTGCCACTCACGGTCTGACGATCACGAACACTCGGTTTGCACTGAGTGCGAATGATATAGCAACTTGGACGCACCCACGGAGTGGTCACGCTCACCTGCTCGACTATGTCATCGTACGTCAGCGTGATATGTGTGAAGTGCGCATGACACGTGTACTGCGTGGAGCTGAGTGGCACTGATCACAAGTTGGTGAGGACCCAACTGTACATATATTTTCGTAAATCAATGTATTGCACTCCCGCCGTGAATCGGCGTAAATTTAACATTCTCTTCCTCGGTACTGTGACGAAACGTACTGAGCTGGAGAAGGCGATGGCTGTGTGATGTGGACTGCATAGCCACAGTGGGCGACCTGTGGCACCACATTCGCGATCAGGTGACAGCTGCTGCCGAGGAGACCATCGGGCTCGCAAACTGTAAGCGGCCTGATTGGTTTGATGACAACAATGCGACGATTGGCGCATTGGTGTCGGAGAAGAATGCAGCATTTGCTGCACATGTTGCAGACCCCAGTGACTTGGGAAGAGTAGTCAGTTTCGCAAACTTCGACGGCGACTGACCCGAGAGCTCCGTCGCATTAATAATGCATGGTGGACGGAGAAGGCGAAGCAGATGGAATGCTACGCCGAACGCCGTCAACACAAGGAATTCTTTGACTCCTTGAAGGCGGTGTATGGACCGAGATTGGAGCCTCTGAGGACACTGATCGATGGTAGTTCAGGCGCTACCTGCACACAGACTGCAGACATAATGCAGATCTGACGGAAACACTTTGACTGTCTCTTGAACAACCGTTCAGAGATCGACTGGCTTACATTGAACGGCCTCAAGCAGCACGATGTGAAGGCGAATCTGGCGGACACGCCGACACTGGATGAGACGCAGAGAGCACTTGCTCAGCTGCGAAACGGCAAATGTGCCGGAGCCGACGGGATCCCACCTGAAGTATTGAAACACGGCGGACTCGCGTTGTTGACTGCGCTGCACCACTTGGTGCAACGCATGTGGATTGAGGAGGAGGTGCCTCCTGAACTGAAGGATGCCCTTGTGCTGCCACTGTACAAGGGCAAAGGGAGCAAGCAATGTTGCACGAATTATCGTGGCATCAACTTGCTGAGTTGTGTGGGCAAGGTGATTGCCCGAATCCTGCTCAACCGCCTCGTCAGTCAGGTTGTGGAACCTAACGTGGCGGAAGAGCAGTGTGGATTCCGTTCGGGTCGCAGCACTATAGATATGGTGTTTGCGGCTCGTCAGTTGCAAGAGAAGTGCAGAGAACGACACCAGCCATTGTACTCGCTTTTTGTTGATTTCACCAAGTCATTTGATACGGTGAACCGCTAGGCATTGTGGCTGGTGTTGGGTAAGTTTGGTTGCCCGCGTAAGTTTGTAAGTTTAATTGAATGTCTGCACAGTGGTATGCGAGTGGAGGGTGCAGCTGAGTGGAGAGACCTCGGATGACTTTGCAGTTGTCTCTGGTGTGAAGCAAGGCTGGGTCTTAGCTCCTGCCCTGTTTAATATATATCTTCATGCAATGTTGTCTTGTGCTTTTGATGCGGCTTGTGCTTACGATGTTCGTGTGGAGCACCGTATTGATGGTGGATTGTTGAACATCCGTCGTTTCGGTGCGCGAACTCTAGTCTGTGAGACAACTATCCGTATGTTGCTGTTTGCTGACGACTGTGCGTTGTTTTCACACAGCGCGGATGAGTTGCAGCACATGACTAGTGCTCTGGCTTCGACTACAGCCAAATTCGGGCTCACCATCAGCACTAGCAAAACTGTCTGTCTCTTTCAGCCTTCTCCGGAGGTGCAATCTTCAATATTGCCGCGAATCAGCATTGGTGCTGAAGTATTGGAAACCACCTCCCGCTTTTGCTACCTTGGGAGTGTGATGTCGACTGACCAGCAGCTACACGTTGAGTTGCGTAATCGCGTGTCGAAGGCAGCGGTGGCATTCGGGAAGCTTGAGTACCGAGTGTGGAACAACCATCAACTTAGCATTGGCACAAAGCTGATGGTGTACAAATCCATGGTACTGTCCGTTCTTCTATACGGCAGTGAAACGTGGACGATGTACCGTCGGGATATATATATATATATATATATATATATATATATATATATTTATATATATATATAGAGAGAGAGAGAGATAGGAAGAGCATTCAATTATTCTTCATGATTAAGGAATATGTTCACTTCCTTGCTTTTATCCGTAATTAACACTTCTTTATGTGCGTCTGCTTACAGGTTATTGGATACTATTCTGTCACTTTGTGTTCGCGTCAGTCATCGGCTGTTCTTCTATAATGCCAGCTAATTTTGCGAACAAACTTCATCCCTTCATTTCACTTGAGGATCACTATCCAGGTGGATTACTCCATACTATATCTTATCTTCATTCACGGTGCCTTTGACGAAACACCTGAAGCGTTTAAAATGTTAGGCTCTTCGATCAACGAGCATTATGTCCGCTTATCTGAGGACGTCACAACATTTGAGCCCATGGATCAAATCAACGGTGTGTTTTTTGACCCCCCAAAGCAACAGGTATTTCTTAGTCCTTGTTTGAGCAGATTGATTTCTACGTAGCTTTTCTCTGTTAAAGCTAGAGGCGCAATGGGCGTCACCGTGAAGAACCCTAATCACAGCGAAACCTTAAACTTTTGGTAAGTTCAAATTGGGTGACCTAACTGTGCTCTCATTTTCGATGTATGCATATTGTTTGTATATCTGACACTAGTTGAGTTCCAGCAGCGACACTTTTATCCCCTCCTCTTTCTGTGCTTCTAGTCCAAGATGATGGACCATGTTGCATTTGGTTTAATTCGCAAAATACCACCCAATGATAGCACTGGATAAACACTGATAACGTAGTTCCGCCTTACCCAATTTTTTTATCTAATGGTACTAACCAAGTTAAACGATGGGGTTCTACATGAGCTGCTTCTGTTATCATATGTACTTTGCACTCGTGTTTCGCTGTCGTATAACTTAGAGAAGGAACAATAATAATAAGGAGAAGAAAGCGTTACACACGATACGGTTGGTGGCATCCGGTTCAGTATTTTCCTGTTACTGTGGCCTCCATGGAGACAGCCACAGGACGCCTGCGCTTACAGAGGGTGGCTTGCGCTGCACTACCCACACACCCCATATCCAGTGTAAACCCAAAGAAATAAGACCGGAGGCATGTGGATAGGAGCCACGTTTTAACTACGGAGCTGACCCACACTCCTTCAGCTTGCACAAAAGCAGCATTCCTGTCTACCAATGTAGGGAATCATGCGTACTTGACGTACAAAAGTCGGTGGCAGGGCCGTAGTCTGCTCCATACTGGGTGGAACCGCTCTTTGAGTCTAGCACGGTAATAAGGACCACGCATCCCCTTCCCCCAGCAAAGATTTGCTGTTTCCTGTTGCCAGTAATATATATATATATATATATATATATATATATATATATATATATATATATATGCTTACGTCCATGTAATAGGCATAGCAATCGAAAATATGGCAAAACTGACCAATAAGATTAAAAGCAGAAAGAGAGAAACGGGTAAAAAGTCTTTTGCGCTCTTCACACGCCGGTTTGTTTTTTGTCAGTTTACTGATTCTGATGCTGATCAGTAGAATCAATGCATAAACTCATGAATCTTCCGATGAACCCGGTTTCGCTTTATATCTTGAAGGGTTTTCAGAATGTAGTGTTCTTCATCCTTTGCTCAATGACCCGAATGATGTGCGGTACCGACGACAGCTAAATTGGAAGTCAGTGCTTTGGCATTTCGTTTCTATGTGGTAAGCTGACGACGGTGCGATTTCTTCCAGTACGGCCCTACGCGAACGAATGGAGTGCGCTGTATTAATCGCTCGCACGGCATGGTGTGACCCAGTCATCATAGTTAGCGAAGCGGTATTAGACTGTCGAGAAGGAAGCCCGTATTACCTAATACGTGACGTGCAACATCGTCGTTACAGATGTGATGTTCTCACCATACACGAGCTATCTTTCCCAGAGAGCCATTATCAAAGGCCGAGATCACACGCATATCATTTACACTAATCGGCCAGGACTCACTTCCATACAATAGTACCGCGCGAGCACATGCATTTTAGGCCCTGTGCTTTATATAAAGTGAAAACTCACGATGACACCACAGATGCCACAAAGTAGCGAAGGCTTATCTGGCTTTGGCAATATGATGAGAATCTCCTTCTAGTGATACCATCACCAGGAACGCATCTCCCCAGGTACAAGAAGCCATCCACTTGCCCAAGCTGCGTTTCTTTAAGAGTAATTACTGGAACAGATGGATGCCATTCCTGAAATGAGCCTTTACCTTTCCTGGGAACAAATGTCATATCATACTTGGTAGCTTCAATCGCCTGGTGGTTTAGAACGATCTACAAACTCTGAGGGTCATTATCTAGCAACGCAATATAAGCTGGATAGTCCCAGTCAGCCAAGTGGTTGCCTACAAGAAGCTGTACCCTGGAGATCTTCCAGAGCATTCAATAAAACATCCTCAATCACAACGTTGAATAGGAACTGGGGCATCCATGTCGTACACTGCTAATGATGACGAAAGGTGTAACGAGCTAACCATAAGTCCCCACTCTGTCCGAGTCATTGTTGTATAATGCTTTTCGGGTACCCTATGCTTTTGCAGATGCCATAAATCAGGCCGATCAATCTAGTCGGATGCAGTTTGGATGTCCTAAAATGCGACAGTGGTAAACTGGTGGTAAAAATGACGATGCTCTAGGAGTTATCGGAGCGTTAACGTGTGGTTCACACACTCATCCGAGACGAAAACCAGCCTGTTCTTCACTCGAGTGTAGTGTACTCGAATCGGTGTTGCTCTGTTGAATGGCATGGATGTTAGCATGAGGTACATGCACCCTTCTTGAAGATTGGTACGATAATCCACTCACCCCGAGAGGATAGAACCTTTTCTTCACATCAAATATTGGAGAACAGATGTGTTAACTGGTTGATAATTGCCTTGCCGCCATACTTGTACAGGAAGTCTGTCTGAGCCAACATCCTGGAATCAATTCAAGTAACGAAGCCCAAGGTAGATCTCCGCTCTGGTTCCGGTGAAACCTAATGCGCGCAAACTGGCATACTTGTTAGTCAGTCGTAAGGAAGAGGCCAATTGAATTAAGAGTAGAAGTCCTCTGGCCAGTGTTTCATGCGCCTACTCACATTTGTAGTTGGTAATTTAATAACTCTTCAAATCGCCTCACTGACGCTAACTATTCCGTGACTAGCGGTCCGAATGATCTGGAAAAGCTTGCCAATGTCTCCAAAGTGAGCTGTTGTCTCCATCACTGAAGCCTGCTGAGTCCACCAAGTTTCAGGATTATTACGCAAGCTTTGCTTAAGTTGCTGGCTGAGATTGCGGCAGAATTCACTATTGTTTTAATCAGCTGGGATATTATTATTATTACACAAAGTAGCTGCAGGTAGAAAGCACCTCAGCTATTGTGCCGAAATACAAAAGAACAGAAAAAATATGCAACAGAGGCACGCCGGCTGAGTTACAGGAACAGATGAACATTGTCCCGGAGTGCTAACAGCCGGATATTGTGTCGCAATAGAGGGGCGATATTATGCCTAATAAATGACATCGTGGTTGGAAGGGGAGGGACAAAGAAACTTACAACACAAACGTCATTGAGGTCGGCTCCTTGCCATGTCAACAAGTGTATCCAGCCAAACGTATTCATAGTCCTTCGGTCCCCAACCAGGAAGCCGATAGGCTCCAACCGAGGCCAACTTCGAAATAACAGTCTTCATTCCTCTTGACCAAGTCGTCGCTTGGCCATCCTTCCTCTTCTTCCATGTGCACCCCCGGCATGCAAACAACGCACTTCAGGGGAGTCGGTGGTTTAGCATGCGCAACACGTGGCCCAGCCATGGGAGCCTGGTGCGTGAATGACGGTGCTGAGTGGTTCGTTTCTTCTTCCTGCGCTATAAACAAGACGTCGAACACGCTCATTGCCCACACGGTGTTCCCACCAGATATGAGCCAAACTACGAAGGCACCGGTAGCCGAACCTAACTAGCCTCTTTATGTCGGCTTACCTAATGGTCCAGATTTCACAACCGTACAGTAGAGTCGAAGGTACAGCTACATTGTACACTCTACTCTTCAAGGGGAGAGTGATGTCGCGCCCCTTCGCCATAGCGCTTCATGCTTTCGCTATACAGTTTAAGACCTCGTCTTTAATTCTAACCCCGCTGTTACAACTACCTAGGTAGTAGAACTTATGAACGACTTCTACCCGATCCCCACCAAGGGTCAGCGCAGAAGGTGGTCCCTGCCAATCTTGCAGGAAAGCTTTGCACTTTGAGGGTGTAAAGCATAGCTCGAAATGGTTCACAACCAGTGCTAATCTGTCCAATGACGCTTGGCACATTTGGGAGCTATCACAGATGAGGGTAATATCCTCAGCATACTGCAAGTCTAGAAGTCGTTTACCTGTGAGCAACTCCACACCTGGTTCGTGTCCTGTGAACCCGATCTTTATGACTTCGTCACAAACGAAGCTGAACAGGGAAGGTGACAGCCGGTATCTTTGTCTTAACCTGCTAGAGGTATTGAATGGCGACAACAGCTTGCTGTAAGCCCTCACTTTACACTACACTTCAAAAATATTCGAAATGCAAATAAACTAATGCCCAATATCATATACTGCGTTTGCTATGAGATCTAACTGGCGGAACAGTCTAAAGGAAATCGGGAAGGACAAAGAAACTCACAACACCAACGCCATTGGGTCCATCTCTTCGAGATATCAGAACGTGTATCCAGCCAAACATGTTCATCGTCATTGGGACCCCAGCCGGGCAGTTGGGATGCACCAACCGACGCCAACTTCGAAGTGAGAGTTTTCATTCCTCTCGGCCAAGTCGTCGCTTGGCGTCCTCTCCGCATCCATCCACAACCCTTGCGTACAAACAACGCACGTCGCGGGTGTCGGTGTGCTTGCATACGCATCACGTGGCCCAGCCAACGGAGGCCGGTGCTGAGTGGTTCACTCGCTCTTCCTACACCAAATACACTACGCCGAATACATTCATTGCTCACGCGGTGCTACTACCAGACATTAGCTAAGCTGCGAGGGTAGCGATGACCGAATGCAGCTAGCCTCTTTATGTCTGTCGACATTATGGACCAGGTTTCACAACCGTATAGGAAGGTTGAACGAACAGTTGCATTAGAAACTCTTCCCTTCAGGGTGAGAGTGATGTCGCCTCTACACCACCGGTGGCGGAGATTGGCACAAGCACCTCGAGCTTTTGCTATACGCTTCTTGACCTCATCTTTGATCCCCCGGGCGCTAATATAGCTGCCCAGGCACTTGAATTCCTGACTGACTTTTAGCTTATCACCACCAAGAGTCAGCGCAGGAAGCGGTCCCTGCCAAACTTGGAGAATGACTTCGCGTTTCGAGGGAGTAAAGCACGGTCCTAGATAATTGACAGCGAATGCTAATCTGTTCAGTGCTACTTGTTACGTTTGAAATCTGTCTCAGATTAGGATTGTGTCGTCAGCATACTCCAAGTCAAGAGTTCATTCGCCTGGGAGGAGCTCCACGCCTTGCATGTCGTGTCCATTGACCGCAGTTTCCATAACTCCGTCAATGGCGAATTC